TGTGGTTTTAGAGGGAGTGGGAACTGACCAGGGGCTGAGCAGATGTGGTACCAGCAGATAGGCAGAGGGCAGCCGTGGGACAACACCCGAGTCCACGCTCAGGTGTCAGGGGGCAGGGAGCCAGGACCACAGGAAACTGACCTGGGGAGCTGTGCCTTCCCCACCAGGGTTCCCCGAGCAAGGCCTCGCATGGACTGGCCTCAATAGGTACTAGAGCACCAGCAGAGTCGAAAAGTAAGATACAACACGTATGTAGTGGCTGCTGGAAACTGGGTTCTGCCTATTTTCTGTCCTAACTCTCAAAGTCACATGAGCATAATTGGTTCATGCTGGGTTTGCATGATTTATGCAAAACCACTCAGCTCATGCATCACAGACAGCATTTGATTCCATCCCCACTCCACAGCCCCACACGCATCCAAACCGTGCCTTCCTCTCAGGAAGACAAGACCAGGTCAGCCACGTGGCCCGGCAGACAGATAAGGACGACTTCCAGGGGGCTACACACCGCAGCGGCTGGGGGATGGGCTGAGAGGAAGCCCCAGAGTCAGCAAGGAGGTAACAGATAAGGCCTTGGAGAGAAACAAATGTTATTCCCAACTGTAGCCAAGGTTAGAGCACGATGCTGTTTGGATCCCCAGACCGGGCAGCCACCAATGAAAAAGGTTGATTTTCCATGTAAAACCAGTTTGACTTTGTTGTACATGTCACCATTTAAGATCACCCTGAGCCTTTCTTTGCCTTTTAAAGAGGAATTTATTCAATCTAGATTTTCCAGTTTGCGGACTGTTTGGGATTCTTCCTTTTCCTCCCTTTTCATACTGCTGACATTGTGGCAGCCTCACGGTTCTAAAAAAATAGTAGCAGGGGAGAGGGGAACAAAATTGCTTATTATCATCCAGGGTTTAATGGTAAAAGTGAGTGCTTAGAAATTTCTGTGATTTTCCTCAATAGGAATTTCTAAAAAATTAACCCATTGCTATGTGTAATAATTATTTTTGCTGCCATTTTGTAGAAATATGAACACATATTCGGATCTTTTAAGTACGTCATTGGAGTACAAAATGAAGTCACATTTCTGCCCTTCACCTCTCTGGTGAGGAAGATCATCTCAGTAGTTGGCGTCAATTCGACGTAGTAAGCAACATACGTGAAGTATTGATAGACAAACTGTTCCTTTTATAGCATAAGATGTTTCTAAATTGTAAGTTGCAGAAAGTCAGTGCTTAGCTCCTCAGTTCTTGCTCCATTTTCTTCAGGAACCACTTGGACACAGGAGATTGTAGATCTGATACAGAACAACGGAGACGTGGAGAAGAGCAGGCGAGCTCCCATCCACCTTCGACACGCTTTCTTGGAGTGGGCAAGAATGTCCAACTCTGGTAAGTCTCCAACTTACAAACTCGGGTCTTCACCTGGAGATGAACAACTTAGGAGGAGAGGCTCTGAAAGTCTACCACATACTGGGAGAAAAGACTGCTTTGACCCCCAGTTTTAAATACTGGCTGAAAATCAACTCTTCTCGCACAAACCTAGGTAGGTCCCTTCATTAGAGACTTACTTAGCCTTAGTACTTAACGACAGAGAGGTAGACTCTGTTACACAAAGTGCCCAACCACTTACAAAAGCCAGGGACCATCTATATACACGTCCTTACTCAACAGAGTCCCTGCTTCCCCATGCGGGACCCCAGTGCCGGTGCTAAGGAAGCCAGTCCCCAAAGGTGGCATTCACAATGCATTTCTATGAAAAAGCAATAAATGGTAGGGTCATTGCTAAGGGTTTCATAGCACTTACCAGGGCCAAGCATTACTCTAAATACTCTTCACAGACACACTCATTTACTCTTCACAACACACGTGTGAGGTGGCTGCCATTCCGGTCTTGATGTCACACACCTGGTCACGTGTGACTATGCTTCTTCACAGGAGTCCATTCCAGTCCAGTCTGAACAACTGGCTTATAAACTCCTACTTGCAAAATGAATGAGCAAACTAATGGCTTGAAACCAAATCTTGCTCATTGTCTTCCTTCCTTCTCACTTCCTCCCTTCCTTCCTTTCTTTCTTTCTTTCTTTCCTTCTTTCCTTCTCTCTCTTTCTTCTCTCTCTCTCCCTCTCCTTTCCATTTCATTTGGAACCAGCCTAACATGTGCCATGTTTTCAGAACTGCTCAGTGTCACATCAGGGTGCTTGGAGAAAAATGGCAAAACTCTGGTTTAAAAATAACTGGGGACAGGTTTCCAAATGTGTTCTAGGCCACACTAAGTAGTTTGCATTTGACCGCAGAGGCCATCCGTGGACACCTCTTTGGGAGTCTTCAAGACCTCTACAACAATTTCTTAATTATGACTTTATTTGCAAGGTAATTAAAAAATGTAACGTAGGCACATTCTGGGTCATGTGAATGATCACCGTGGGACCTGAATCCTGCCACGGGGTCTCAGTGTCCTTGTTTCCATTTGNGCCCCGCGTCGAGGTAAGCAAATGGCACGTCTCAGTGCAGAGCCACGCCAAGCAGAGATGGTTGGCCTGCCTTCACTAAGCCGGCTGTCTCTGCCGCCACATGATAAAATGGAGGCAGCTCTGTTGTGGGCGCTTAGCCTGGTGTGGTAGGCGGGAGCCAGGCAGGCGGGGAGCAGTCGGGCTTCGCCCCACAAGTGGGGCTGGGCTGGGGGTGACTCACAGAGCTCGCAGAGTTGGGCCTGTCCGGCGCGTTCCACTCCGTTTCTGTGTCGCCTCTGCTGGCTTACTTGGCCTTTGTTGTCTCGGGCTGCTCGCTCGTACCCGCAGCAGGGCTTGGGCGCTCTCAGGAGTCTTCTTTTGTGTCCGCCCTAAAACCTTGAGCCTGTTGTTGCTTGTATGTCATTGTAGGATCGTTGTTGAAAGATTTATTCGTTTTTTGTTGCTCTTGGAAATGCAATTAGTACTCTGGTATCACAGCGTACACTTCTCAGGATCGCGCTGTCTCCTGGCACAGCCGCTCCAGACCCATCACCATCTTAGAATCAATTAATTATGATTTTATTTGCAAGGTAATTAAAAAATGTAACATAGGCACATTCTGGGTCATCTGAATGATCACCGTGGGACCTGAATCCTGCCACGGGGTCTCAGTGTCCTTGTTTCCATTTGTGTCAAGAAGCCTTTATTACCTTGTGGTACTGTGGAAATTACTGAAAGCAAATAGGATGGGAAATGGAGAGGGGCTCAGCAGTAAATAACACATCAAGTGCAGGCCGATGCAGCAAAGATTCAGATGCACAAAGCAAGCATAAAGTGCCAAGTACCAGACGAAAAGAGGGAGGAATGTTTCTATCAGCCAGGAGTGAAAAAGGCATAACGTGGCATATAAAACCCAGAAGACATGAGTGAAACAAAACTGACAAGATCAATTGCATTAAAAATAAAAACTTTAGAAGATTTAAATAATGATCCAGAACCATTTTTTGCAGGGATTGACCAGGCTAATGCAATGCCTTCCC